TCTTTGATCCAGCTCATATTGTACTTGAAATGAGAAGAACATTCATTTATGTATTTCTATGTATTATTTATAATCCATCCAGTTCAATTTGAAAAGTGAGAATAATAATTGTTAAAATATAATTGATGTGTACTTTCTTTATTTGATTTGACAGTTGTTGACTACACAGAGACATTACTACTACTAGACTTCTTGAATATTCTGTATATATAGATATATATTTATATATATCGATATCTATATATATAGATATAGATATATCTATATATATCTATATATATGGCACTAAATAGCGCATGTTAGATATTATTGTAATTGTTACGTGCCGTGTTGTGTTTGTGTGTGTTCTCACCCTCTGTTTTCCCTCAGTCTTCTCGAGTGCCACCCTCTGACCTGGATGCCAGCTGCAGCGGCTGATTGGACGCGGCTGCGTTCAATCGCGATTAGCTGTGGCTGGTGACTAAAAGGAGAGGAGCTCCTGAAGGACGATCTCTTAGGGCAGGCCACAGTAGTGAGGCTGTGTGCATGAGCTGACAACTTTTGGGCATAGTGGTGGAGCTACGTGTGTGCGCTGCACCTTTGTTTCAGCCGTGTGGGCTGTTGTTGTATGTCTAGTGTCGCTTTCTTTTTATAAGAAAGTAGTTTTCTTTTGCTGCCGTGCAAGCAGCTAGCCCTTTTATAATAAATACTCTTTTTGTTAACCGTCATCGTTGCTCAGTCTCTCTCTTTCCCTGGGAAAATAACACCGTTACTCCCCGCATCCCTTAGATGCCAGAACGGGGAACGTAATGTTCCGGACCTTTGCCCGAGAACATTTTCTTAATCTGGACCTTTTGGAATTTTAATTGAATATCCCTGCCCTAAATCTTACAGGTTCCTTCAGGTTATGGGATTTTGAGTCCCTGTAAGGAAAAAGGCCTAATACATATAAGTCATGTGCTTATTCAGATGTGTTTTCTTTGCTGTTCATCGCATCATTTATTGAAATGTTCTACTTGTAGTTCCAAAAAGGTTGTATGCACATACGAGGACATGGGATTTTTCCATTACATTAATATAACATAAAAAAATGTACATTAGATTACATTTTACTCAGCGGTGTGAAATGTAATGTAATTGTACCGACTCATTCAATTGTACTGACAATAGTTTTGGGTCTGTATCACTCGATGAGAGATCAGAATATACACGATGTAGCCATGATTGTAAAACAAAACAAGAATGATGTCAAAATCTGCAAGAGATTTCCAACCTTGGAGTCTGGA